TATTTTATGCTCTAACAATCGACTACTATACTTTATTTTTCGAATTAAGTATTGTTTTTCGTGACTACCATTAAATCAGTAATATAAGATGTATTCACCCAATTTCGTTTAAGGTGATGAATGACTGGATGTAGAATTTTCCCACAATGATATGAGTTGGGCTGACGTTTCCATTCAATTTCACATAGCCTTGCTTTCCCAAATGTTGTTCTCATCCAAGCACCAGTCGACTGCAGTTTTGACCTCGCATTGGTCTTATCAACACCCTCAGCGGGAGTCGAACCGCGACAGTGCAGAATGGGAGCTTGACACGTTAACCAGTAAGCCACCTTGCCACGAGTGCCGTTGGGTCACAGGGCATAAGGGGATTTCAAGGAAGGTCAGGCCTCTTTGCTATATCATATTCTTTTTGGTGGGAGTGCCGATGAAGCAAACGTATATTTGCTATAGCAATCGACTACGTTAATTATTTTTGATATGTGAGTAGAGTTTCGAGACTACCAGTAAATCAGTAATATGAAATGTTGAAGTAGGCTTTATCAACAATTTATGTGACCTGCGGGACTGGAACATTTATTCAAGATCTGCTGATAGCCTCGAAAACATATTTTCCGTGAGTTTAGCTAAGATAGTCGACTGTAATGGCAATACACACGCTTTTGAATAAGAATGGTCTTCATTATATTTCGTTTAGTGTGATTAAGGACGGGTAGTTGCATTTTCCTACAATCATATGAGTAGACCGACGTTTTCATTGCATTTCACACTGACTTGCTTCCCAAAAGGTATTCTCATTCAAGCAACCGTGTATGACCATTTCGACCTCGCCCAGCTCTCATGACACTCCCAGCGGGACTCGGATCTGGGCTGCTGTAGTGCCGCCTATTGGTTCTACATTTGACCTACTATGGCAGACTTGCACGAGTGCCTTTGATTCACAGAGCAGAAGTGCGTTTCAAGAAATCTCGGGCTTTCATCGCCTTAATCACAGTTCTTATTCAAAGTCTACTGGTAGTCCCGTGAAGCTACTTATGACCAAATATAAGTAGTGCAGTTGATCGTTATAGCAAGAGGCACCTTGCTTCCTCGACAATCCCACGACAGCATGTGATATGGCAACATGATGGGCCCTTCTTGAAATTCACACCTGCACTGTGACTCAGTGACACTCGTGGCAATGTGGCGTAGCGATTAACGTGTCGAGATTACACGCTGTACCAGCACAACTCGGCTTCCATTCCTGCCGCGGGTGCTGATGAGGTGAGTTCAGGAGAGGTGGGAACTGCAGTCCATTCCGTTCGGGATGAGACCACCTTTTTGGAGGCAGGGCCATGTGAAATTGAATGTAAACGGCATGTGGTCTGATGATAGGATTGTGAGCAAAATCATCTACCAGTCCTTCATGACCTTAAACCAAATTGGGTGGACACAATTCTCGTGCATGGTCTACCGGCAGCTGAAAGTTCGCTTCTTCCACAGCATTGTGGTAGGATGCATCACCTTATGCGACCTGTGCCGACAGGAAGTCATGTCCTGCTTGTCGTTTGCCACGAGACCTCACTCTTCGTCCCGCCTCTCCATTCTTGCCCCAACAGGCAACTCTGCTGCCTCTGGCCTACCCGGCCGGACACCACCCGCATGGCTACATAATCGCCCAGCCAGCCGTTGCCGGCCACTCTTCGCATCAATACCAGCACCAACCGCACCATGTCCAGAGTCAGCATCCAACCAACGAGCATCAGCAGCAGCAGCAGCA